TGTAAAGAAGGAATAAACTGTTTTTCTTGATCTCTGGAGACTCTAGAAGATGGCCATGATGACAGGCTAAACTGCAGCAAGGGAGAATGAGCCTACATGGTACAAAAGGTTTCCTACAGCAAATCCTACACATGGCAGTAGCTGCCCCAGCCAGTTTCTGGAAGCACCAGCACCAAGGGCTCCAGGAGGAGAAAGACAAATGCCCACTGTCACTGGCCAGCACAGGCCACCCTAGGTGACCTCCCAAGGCCCAGGCATGGGGGCTGCCTCTGCATGATGGTGTAGGGTCACCCCCTCACCTCACCAGAGGTGGGGCTGGTTCAGCTCCACCAGCCCCATCAGCAGCTGGATTTGGAAGGTGCCAGATCTGCAATGCCAGGTGCAAAGGGGAAGCTGCTGAAGGGCACAGACAAACACAGCTGAAGGCTCTCTCTGTTACCTGGCATGCACTCTAAGCCATTATTCTCGCTGGACCACACTGAGTTAGGGCCTCCTTGGCAGTCACATTTGCAAGCCTTGCTATGCCACAGCTCCAGTCTCTCATCCTAAAGGAAAGGTAAAAAACGAGTAATAAATCAACATAGTCATCAACATTAGTGTCACTAGGCCAAATCTGAATTCTCCATCTCAGACAAATGCTTGTGCCTGTCTGGACTGCTGCACCTTGTCTGAGACCCCTTCCTGTCACCAGCTCAGCATGCAGCACAGAACGACTTGGATCTCCTTGGATTCAATGGTCAGAGCATGTGCCTGAGCTTGAAGGCCCAGGTTCCATCCCTCTTTTGCCCCAAGGCACCAGGACTGGGCACTGTCAGACCTCCAGCATTTACCTGTCAGCTGAACTATCCAGAGAGACTTACCTCTCCTGGGGAGAGGGCCATCACAGCTGGGCAGTGGGCATGGAGGGAAGAAGAGAGAGAGAGAGATCAGAAACAAAGATGCCATAAGCAAACATCAGGAAATACAATCAACTTTACTCCTGAGATAGAGACAAATAAATAGAGGAAGGACTGATGAATCTACCACATTTCCCCAAGCTGATTGCCAGAAGAAGGCAAGAAAACATGGGTAGGAACAGGGCACTACATATGCTCGTGTCTGTGCTACTCTTCCATTGGGTTTTCCTTCAGATGCCTTCGGCATCTCTTCTTCCTGATCAGATACACCTGAATCACCCTGAGGCAAAACATGTGCTGGACCCCTCAGTCTCTGCTTTACAGCTAATTTTGCACATATCCATTTTTTATGTCTTCCTGCTCCACACTTTACCTGTCACATTTTCCCCTTAAAATGTTTAAGTTTATGAACTTCAAGGTGAAATCCTAGCCTGGTGCCACTGCAGATCCCAAGCATCTTTGGAGGAGATAGGGCACCTCACAAGGTGCTTGGCCTGAGATTGCTCCCTCTGGATGTGATGGAGAAAAAAATAAATGTAAATAGGCCTTCCTAATCTGCCTTACAGACAATACTCCCTTTTTTCCTTTCTTCGGGAAAACCAGTAATTGTGGCTGTGGAGGAAGAGATGCTATTTTTGCAACATCTGACCTGTTTTATCTCCTGCCTCTTACTGAGCAATGGCTTTTTTATGAGGCTTTTTCCTTACTGAAAAGGCTCCTCTTGCTTCACAGTGAAGTCCAAAGCAGAGTAGGTTAATAGCTTTTAGACTGGTAGAATATTTCCCAAACAGCTATGAAAATAAAATATTAAAAAATTAATCCCATTACTGCTGATAACTCATCAACACAAGTCAAATGTCAAACATCAGGTTTTCAAAGACGTAGGGAACCTACAAGCCAGTAAGGAAAAAGCAATTGAGCAGGTAAAGGCTTGTATATAGGAGCCATAAGAAACCTGCCATATCCAGAGCAGGTTTCATATTTTCTGAATATGAAAAGACGATTTTTTTCACCAAATGAATTAGACTCTGAATTATTCACTGAAATCTAGTTATGATTTATTCATTCATACACTGTCACTTTGCTGAGCCTAGGAAGCTCCAGCTAATGCTGGGGATTTACGTCTTACATTACTATAGCAAGCTTTATCTCAAAAGGCTCACAAACACAGAGCAATTATAATCAGCTGAAATATAAACTATACACAAAGCTCTGTTTATTACTGAAATGCTACTGCTCCTTGGGTGTGAAAATGAGTCTAAATGTATCAAGAGTCTAAACAAAAGACCTCCAAAAGTAAAATGATAAAGAAATTTTTAAAAATTCCTTTCTCTAACACAGAGATGGTCTCCTGTGCTTCAGTGTGTTTCTGGCATCAGGAACTTACCACCTTAACCCACAGCATTGGCCCTGGCAAAAAAAAGTAAATGCCAGTCTACAATAAAACATCGTGGCTTCCCAAGAGGGAGGCAGGGATCACTCAGAGGCCAGCATGCTCAGGAGGAAAACATGCTAATACATCTCCAGACATCCTGGAAAGTGTAGGCTGGAGGCCCCACACAGCACTGCACAACTCCTTTCCCAGTACAAATGTTACCAAGCCAAGCCCTGGACTCCACTGTGCAAGCACAAAACCAAGGCAGAGGGGAAAACTCAGAGCCACTCTAGTGCTGTGCCACATGGGGCAAAGAGGTTTGACTTAAACCTATGTGAAGGTGATTTAAGTTAATGCTGTCTGTCAATACGAGAGAAACCAGGATTTTATCACTTACCAAAACTGGACCATCTGTGCCATTAAAAGTAATGCAGTGCCTGCCTCTGCTGCCTGCCCTGTGCTGCGTGATGCCAGTGCTGGAGAGGCATTGGTACCTGGGGGGTGATATCCAGGCTGGCAGGTGTCACTCCTGCCCCCTCTCCACCCCATAGAGTGGTGTCCTTTCCCAGCAGGACAGATGCTCTGCTCCAGAAGCACCAGCTGCAAGGGAACGACTCCCTTCCTCGACTCCCTTCCTCTGACACCTGGGATGCCCCCCAGCCATCACAGCCTGCGGTGTGTTCCCATTGCCCAGCAATTCCTGGCTCACAGAGCTGCAGGCTCGGCTCCTTCCATATGCTTAACTACTTTATTTTCACCTGGAAGACTGATTTTTGTGAAGAAAACTTTTGTGGGTTTTTCTTATGGTGGTTTAATGCACTTTAGCCTGGAAAAGGGGTTTTAAAAGGCTTCTTCTGTATCATCAGGTCCAGCCATTAACCTAAGGAAGTTACATTCCATGACTTCAGCATGGTGAGCACTCCATGACTGTAGTGTGGTGTTCTTGAACACTCCATGCCTGGGGTGGGGAAAGGGGATGTGAGTTACCAGGATGGTGTAAGTATTGCTTTGTGACCATGCTGAGTCCTTCAACAGGCCTCCTGAGTCCCTCCCTTTGAGACCCAAGATCAAAATTTAATATACTATTGACACATGCAGCTGGAAACTCAACAGCTGTGAGTGAAACAACAGACAAAACAGGCAAAAAAGTAATAGATTTCAGGTGGATGGGTGTATGGTAGCATCAATTCAACGACCAGGGATAAATCCTCCTCTCCAGGTGACCCAGCATTTCGTGGGTGGCTGCACTCACTCAGTGGTACCTGCTCCTGAGCTATGGGAGTGGTTTTGAGGGCTTTTAGCCTCATCTGCCAGGGGACACCACTGCAAATCAAGCAAGGGTGTGAATTCCAAGCACAAAAGCTCTTTTTTCAATGCAATGTTTTATTGGGTCAGTCCCACAACACACAGTGCCAGGGCACCAGGCAGTGCTGGCATGCTGCCCCTCTGGCTGTCCCAGCTAGGCTGGGCACCTCCACTCCTCACCACATAACTTGCTGATTTAAACACCTCAAACAGGAGTTCAGCTTCCCCTTTCTCAGCTAGGAGAGGTGAACTGCTAAGGGCTCAAGCACAAGGGGCTCAGCCATCCAACCACGGTACAGGGGAGCAGCAGGCTTGGTGTGGGGTAAGCACAGTAGTGAATGGCCAAACGCCCTGCCTGGGCAGTGCAGCCTCATAACCCCTGGCCTTGGGAGAGGAAAGCAAATGAAAGATGCCCTTGCCTGCAGTTGGCCACAAAACATAGTAATTGATATATTGGTGTGTTTACAGCTGTGACAGGCCTGTCCTACAAAGGAAATGAGGAGGAAAGCTGGCTGCCAATAGTCTAAAAATGTGATGGGCAGCATGCTTTTATAGCGAGCATGTTTGCCTTCAAGGAAGGTTACAAAGATAATTGGTAATTGTAGGTCAGACAGAACGAATTGCTGCAATTCAAGGGAGAGTCATAAGGCCTGTATGGCCACCAGGGGCTGTTTCAAAAGCACAGGACTGACAAAACCCCCAAAACATTAAAAAGGGAAAGAGCTCTATTTACAGCCCTCCAGGACCTTCAGCAAACCATCAGTCCAGTGAAATAAATTATTATGTGTTTGTGGGAGGCAGGGAGATCCATTTCCTGTCCCTTCATCCCACTCTGCAGTGTGGTGTGTCCAGAGCACTGCCATGCACAAATGCTATCCCAGAGCACAGGATTTAGGGACCAGGGCTTGGGACAAGATCCAGGGGATGACTTTGTGCAAGGGAACCTGTGCTGGTGAGGCTGGGCTGGAGCCCAGGTGCTGAGATGTCTCCACTGCTGCTGAGCAGGATGAAGGGGAATGATACTCCAGGAACTGGTCCAGGTTTGGGGCAGAAAGAAGAGACCTGGCAGAGGTAGCCCTGGGGTGCCAGGACGGGGTTTCCTGAGATGGAGATTGGATAAAGCAGCAGGCACAGCTTAGGGCTACTTGGAAAAAGGGGTAATCAGTAGCAAGGAAACTCAGCTGCTGGCATTTTAATAACAGGAACAGGTAACTGTATTTCTCAGAAAAATTGTAATCATTAGGAATGTGTTTTAAAAAGAGAAAGAAAGGAGGAAGATAAGTGTGGGCAGAAGTAACACTGCCAAAGGCTGTGTTCAATACAGTAACTCTGAGGAATCACATTCACTATCCTGACCATAAAGTCATAGCAGCAATCTTTTAGTGTAGGAATTAATGACAGATATACAAGCATCAGAAAGCACATTATAAATATAAAAAAGAAAGAAATAAAATATAACACAGAAAAAATGTCAGTCACTCAATTTACTGGAATAAGTTTATGTAAACTTGATCATTGCCAGGAAAGTATGTGGAAAATGTTAATCTCTTTATTTATTTATTGTAGAGGTGTCCTAGAAGCTTCAGCTGGAAAACAGCTGATTTTTTGTCTCATCTCTGTAAGCAACATCTCAGTTTAACAGCGCTCAGAGAGGTTAAATTATTTTTTTCTCGCCGAGTGGAGAGCAATGCCCCCATGATGCAGCAGTGTTTTTTGGGTACACTGGCTCCTTTTGCACAGACAGTCACCTGCTTCTCCCTTCTGCATCTGTGGGTTATGGGGTAGAGGAAAGGAAAACATTTTAAACCCCAGAAAAATAAGACTGGAGCCCCAGAAAAGCTCTAAAAAGTCACAAAAATGAAAAGCATGGCTGGAATGGGTGGCACTGGTTTAGCACTCTTTCTGAAAGGCCCTCTTTCCCTGAGCACCGCATGAGACAGCACCAGAAAGCAGAGTTAGGTAACAACCTGTAAGCAATACAGAGGGTCGAGACACTGAAAAAAGCATTGCGGTGCCTCTGTGCCCATTTGGTGCTAGGTTGTATCTTGCTATATTATTAACTTAGGTTATTTTTACATCCCAGCCCTGCAAATCGTGCCGGGCGACTGAGGTGACTCACATCAGGCTGCACCAGCCCCCGTAAGAAGGTGCATTTTGGGAAGGTGGCACATTCGTGGCGTTCTCCCCATCTCTCCTGGCCCCTGTGCCAGAGGCGATGGTCCCAGGGGTCCCTGCCGCAGCTGTGGCCGGTCCCCAGGTGCCCTTGGCAAGCACAGCCCCCTTGCCCACACGCTTCGTGATCGCTTTTGTTGATTTCCCCCCGGGGCTTTTTCCATGGCCAGGCAGGCTCCATGAGACCGTGTGTTGTGCAAACAGCACCTTCATTTCTAAAAAGCGTGGGCTTTAAATGGCCCGTGGAGCTGTGCCGGCAGGCAGAGACCTCCAGGACACGTGCAGGTCTGTGTCCACCCAAAAACATGGGAAGCCAGGCTGGCCTGGTGAAAGCAGAGTGCCCATCCAGGGACTCCTACACCCAAAGCCAGGCTGGCCAAATGCCCAGCCTGTTTCTCCAGCAGATGACATCGTGTCCCCAGCAGGGACCAACACCCAGGTGTGACCACACGCCAGCCTGTGAGCACTGACCTCTGCTGATCGCTGCCAGGCTCGGCCAGAGCACAAACTGAGGGCAAGGGGACATTGGCCTGCAATGGGGAGGTTTCGTGCTTTGTATTATGATTCTCACTCAGGTTTTAAATACGCTGTTCTTTTCCTCCTTCATTTTATGGGGATTCTTCACAGCTGTATTATTTTAATTTCAATGTAATTTTCTTCATTTGAATGATTTTCATTAGATTTTCCTTTTCATTAATTTGTATTGTGTTTCATGTAATATTTACTGATATTTATTTGAAGGCAATAAAAAACCATATTTACATAATCACAATTACGCTTATTTAATTAATATGAATTCCTAATTTTCCATAATGTTTCCAGTAATTTTTTTTTATGTCGTGACAGTATTTGAAAAAAGCTAAATTAATTTGTAAAAAAAAAAAAATCTGCCTTTCCTCCCTTTTTTCTTAAGAGATGTATAATCAATTATCTTTTTTTCCAAAGCGTTCCTTAGAAATTTTCGGCATTTTCTAACCTTATTGACATGTTTGTTCCTTCCTGCTTGGAACTACGCAGAACATTGCCTGAATAGTAATTTCATTAGATGCATTGATTATGCATAAGGGCAGCACTACTCAAGACTACTTGATTATGCCTAAGGGCAAGCACTACTCAAGATGTTATTTACAGTGATCCAAAGGCCTGTTTGAGCCTTTAATTTTTTTTTACTTTTTTTTTGGCGGGGGGGCTGGTCTTGTTTTGGTGTGGGTTTTGGTTGTGCATTTTGTTTTTTTATCCTAGGCTACAAAATAAGGAGGTGAAAAAAAAGAAATCCCCTCTCTGGAATTGCTGCGGTGTGCAGCAGGAGCAGCGGGCTCGGTGGCGCGGTGCGGGCGCGCCTCCGTGAGCGCGCCTCCGTGAGCGCGCCTCCGTGAGCGCGCCTCCGTGAGCGCGCCTCCGTGAGCGCGCGTTCGTGTCGCGCCGGGGCTCGGGCGCTCCCCTCGCCATGGGCAGGGCCCGGTAGCCGCCCCTCGCAGGAGCCTCCCGCTGCTCCATGTGCTGCTGCTGCTGCTGCTGGGCTGTGTCCCCAGCGAGCACAAGGCCAGCCAGGGCGCGGGTGCTCCTCTAAGCCACTTGCTCTGCCAGGGAAAATCAGCTAAGCAGCTTATCATGGCATCAGTGCACGTAGCTCCGAGGGCTGACCTAGCGGCACCTTAGTGCTAGGAGAGGCAGGAGTGAGAGGGGCACCTGGGCTCTCTCTTTTTATACACAGGAGGACACTGAGACCGCGAAACAGAGAAAAACAGTAAATTAAGAAATACAATAATTAAATACCAAAGGAGTGATGCCTGGAAAGTGATCTTGCAACTTATTTTTCACTGCAGGCTCTCCAAAAATATCCTGATGTGTGGGTGTCTATTAAAAGCAAGCTGTGTCTGGAATTCAGAGCAAGGTACATGAACTTATTCCAAGGACTAATTGCAGTTATGCCACCAATAGGGAAAGAAAATCTGGAGTCTGTATAAAAACACTCTTCCTAGAAGCTCAGGCACCAGGAACCTTCCCAAGTGAAACAAAGGAGAGTGAAGAGATAAGGTACGAGGAGAACGTACAAATATTTGCTGGCAGATTAAAAGAAAGATCTATTAATTAGGCAGAGCTGGGTACAGCCAACATAACAAGATGAAATGAAGGCATGGCTAGTTGAGGAGCACTTTATTTTCCTACCCATGAAATTTGGTAGAGCAAAATATTCAATGGAAACAGAGAAAAAAACAGATAGAAAAAACCAGACATACGAAAACACTGGGAATTCAACACCCACAGGAGAAAAGTTGGACTGTCTGATTAATCTGTTCCTCACTGTGACAGATCATACTTGATTCACACATTATCTCGGTAGACACTGCCCACCACTTACCAAGAGCAACCCTCAGCCTCACTTAAGAAAAAAATAACTTTGCCATCGGCTTTGATGAAGCCAGAAATTTAAATATGAACCAGGAAATAATCTCTTTGTTCTCCACAACTGAGTGAATTAAAATGGAAGGCGATTGTGACTCTCTGGCTTCTTCTAGCTCCCGCTTACCTACTTTTGTTGTTCCTTTTCTGAAAAATGAATATGAGAAAACCTGAAATTTGATAAATACCCTTCCCATTTTCTAGACTTATGAATTGTTTCTTCTTCTAAAAGTATCTTTGGAAGTCTTTTCCAGGGAAAAATACCTTGAAAGGTCTTTTTAAAAAGGCAATCTTCATTAGCAATGTCTTGCTGTTAGAGAAAATGATCAGTTTTTGATTAATCAAGAGTTTTGATTAATGAAGGACCAGTCTTTCATATTATACTGTACCTCATTTTTCAGTGTTATTATTTACACACTGGCTCAGCTGCACTACAATTTTCTTTGCAAATTCATATTTTGACAAATTATATGGCAACTTTTTTACACTGCAATTATTTTTTTTTTGAAACAGAGTTTTACTACTGAATATTCATAGAGCTGTAAGAATGCTGCTCACTCATGTACATAAATTACACATCTCCTCCACATTTTGCCTTTCCCCAAATTATTATGTTTCCATGAGAATGCTGAGAAGAGCTTGCTCTGTACCCCACAGCCCCTGGCAGAAGAAAGAGTGGCTGAAACAGGAAACACAAAGAGGGATATCTGAAAGCGCCTCTCAGGAGGCAAAGTGCATACCTTTGTACCAGAAAAGAAGAGACAGCAGGACGCTCCCCATCTTGAACTGCATCTTTTCCTTCCTCTGTTGTGAATAACTAGCTCCTTAATGTACTGCTTGGCTTGATGGGAAAGCATGAGATTAACTTAAGCGTTGCCTAAGCACCTTACTCTCCTCCATTCCCATGATTTTATCAAGTACCATCAAGCCAGCCACACAATTGTTACAGTCAAACTCCATCCTAGAGGCTGGGCCATCTGTAACAGTTTTTGAAAGGCAATAAGTACTGAGGTACACTCTGAGTGTGAATCTGATTGTACATGCAGACATATGTCAAAATAAATCAGGATATACCTACATATAAACCACATATGCACCCTACAGAAATGCAGATGCCTAGTGCTTATAAAAGATGTATAGTATATATTGTCTATTATATATAGCATGTATTCATTATCTTCCACCCCAATTATTTACCTCCACATTAGCAATATCTTTCCTAGCAATAGTTGTGTTTAGAAATCTGTCCTGGCCTTACTGCTCTTCCAGTCACCTAATTGCACAGGGCTGAAAACTGCAATTAGTAGATCAAACAAAAATAGTGGTTTTCAGTTGTTTACTTGCTAGGTTACAAAAATCTCTAACCAAAAATGTAAACCTCTCTTTGCTAACAGTTCTATCTACAGTATTCTCTCAACCAGCCTACATCAAAGATTTTATTTTAGAATGACTGATTCAAGATAAAACAGACTGCTAGTGATTCCATTGGATCTTGCACCTGTTCCTCCAATCTCTGTTGATTATATGAAATTAGCAGTGAATTTTTAATGGAGGTTTTTGAAAGCAGTTGCTTCAGAAGCAGCTTGCTTTGTTTCAAGAGATCTCAGATTGTATGCACTGGGAATAGATTAAGGCACTGCTTAAATTTCATAGGCTGCTGTTGAGTTAAGCCAGTCGTGTCTCTACTCTTCTGGTTTATATTCATTCAAAAATGCTGTGCAAACAAGGATGCTGGCATTGTGAAATCAGTCCCCTGGGGCAGGATTCATCTCATTTGCCTTTGGATGTCCACAAATTTGGAATGCCCTGTGAATTGGTTGTCAGGTAGAACATCCCACTGCAGTCGCACCTCCAGCACGAACACATCCCAGACTCACCAGGGTATGTGACATGGATGGGAGGAGTCTCCCACCAGGGGGGCTCACTGCTTTGCTCAGCCTCAAGGAGTTTAACCTCCTCAGCCCAACACTTTTCCCACTTTACCCTACCTACATGGAGAGGAGGGTTGTCACAGGCAGACTCCTGTGGCACTCTGTTTCAAGGACCTGGGCCAGCTCACCCCAAACCCTGGGAGAGAATCAAAGCACGGCAGGGCGAGCAGGCAGGACAGCTCATCGCAGGCACCAGGAAGGGGGTCACTTTTCTAAGGGCAGGGGGCTGCTCCTGAGTTTTTGCCAGAGGCCTCATGCTCATATGCTGCTCCCATCTTGGGGCAGTGAGACCCAGCCAGGAATTAAAGAAATATGAGACCCATTGAGGGTACCAATGTGCATTTGCACATGTGCCTTTGCTGCAGTGCAGCATCTCACTTCAGGCTCTGCACAGTATCCTCTTTATATTGTTCTCTCTAAAATAGGCTGCCATGGAGGCAGAGATTTCCAGAGCTGCTGAAGATACTCAGACATCTATTCCCTCTCTGCATTGATGAGCAGTTGGTATCTAAATCTCTTGGGTTTGAAAATCCCAGCTTAAAAATCCCTAAATACCTTCATCCCCATATCTCTTGGAAAACCAGACCTGAGCTTCAGCCTCTCACCTTATGGTCTCGTAAGGACAGGTCACAGGGTCACTCACACAAAGAGAAATCACCTACCATGTTTTAAAGAAATGCAAAGCCAAATTCTCTCCCATCACCACATACAGTTTTAAATCAGCTTGGTTTATGGTCAACCCCACCCTTCAAATACATTTTGATTTTGTGTAAAAGATTCACAGCAGCTCAGGGAATGTGTTCCGAAATAGCACAGCTCTTATCAAAGAACATTTTGTCCAAAGAGGTACCCTCAAGACTGTTGGTCTGGTCTGGACTGGTGGCTGCCCAGTTATAAAACTCCCTCGACACAGAAGGAAAGGCAACTTTTTAAAAAAAATTGTCTATAGCATTCAAAAAACCTAACTGTTTCACGTGAAGATTAGAAGAGTATTTAAATTAAAAGTCTCTATATAAATAGTATGCAGTTCAGACAGTTTGTGTCTAATGGTGTTGATAGTCCTTCATTTTAATAACTGTAAACAGCAAAACCATGCTGCCACTGCAGACAGCATTGCTGAGTGAATCATGTAGTTAATTCCTAGCAAGCACTGAAGTATTTTCAGGTACAGAAGGCAGAAAAAAATTTAATGGCCAATATATAACATAGCACCAGAAATGGCTACATTTGCCCTTTATAAAAAAGAAAAAATACAGTTTCAAAAAGGATAAAAATTAGTCTGGCATTGATTACAGAACAAAACTGAGACTAGTACAAACTATCCAAATTAAGACAGTTTGGTAACATTCCCACTGCTATATAAAGCGGGAACTACCTGGGCAGGTTTGCTCTTTTGTCCATACATCTACTCCAGCTCCAGCTCATGTCTCATTGGCCCTAAGACATTTTGCTATGTTTTCATGCCCCTCAGAAATCTTGGTGTGTTTTCTTCTGCCATATTGTGGGAAAAAACACAGAGAGCACCCTGTACCATGGAGATGCTTTCAGTCTGACTGGCAGCATGTGTGTGTGGCCTCGGAGGGGAAGCAGGAGGCAAAAGTACTCGTGTGTGAGAGAGAAGTGTAGCTCCACGCAGCAGTGTCATGTTTCTCCCCAAGTGAGAGTGCCAGACGGCTCCATCGGAGCAGCACGCACAGATCGTGTGTCTGGAAGCTGAACGCACACTACGAGCAGTGCCTCAGCAGAAGTGTGTGACTGGCACACTTTTGTTTTAGCACAGTAAGGGAATGAGCAAAACACACATTTATACATGTACCTGTGAACCACAGACATCTCTCAGAATCAGGATATGGATGTGTGGAGAGGGCAAAACTGTTAATGGTTTTAGAGCCTGAGTCAGGAGCTGGATCCCCTTCAAATGGACGCAGCTGCAGTGGTCTACACACATTTAAGGTATTGCTCTCAGAATAAAACATTATTTTTACAAGTCTGAAGCATGAGCTTAAGTCATCTTCTGAAAAGAAGACTTTTTCCTAAATGTAAGAAAACATGAGGCAGATAATTACCCAGTGCTGACCACCAGGCCCAGGCCCATTCCCTGTAACTCATGGACTTGGAGGTGCTGTGACTGTCAACAGCAGGGTATCACCATCTCTGTTAGATGGGATGCCCCTACAGCAAAGGCTTGCATATCCTACCTTGGGAGAACTCTAGCTGTGTCTGACTCAGCTTTGAGCCTGTATTCTGGAAGCAGCCAGTCTGTGGAAGACAGTTTACCCCTGATGGGGGACCACATTGCTTTGGTTTCACCTCCTGTGGGCTGCACACACACTGCTAAACAAATAGGCAGAGGAAAACCAGAGCTGAGTACTTCTGCACTTTCAGGGTGTGGGATGCACAGGCTCTTAACATCAGTTGGGCGTTAATGTTATGACTTTAGCCTGCCAGGTCTCACTATGGGATGTACAGCTGCTTTCCACCCAAAAAAACTTCTGCAACCTGGTCCAGGTATCCTTGCATTAATCTGCAATCTCTATCTGCAATCTCTAACTGCAGCTTGCCCATACCCCAGAGTGGTTTTTAGTGAGAACAAAGCACTGACAAAGGTTAATAGTTTTCTCAATATGATGATGATGAAGGTAAGTTTCTTAATAAGTCTCTGATTAAAGTAAGTTAAGCCAATTTTTTCTCTTTAATCTTTAAGATAGGTAAATCACACCCTCCCACTCTGATCCTTCAAAGATACTCAAGAGCTGACTCCAGGTCAGGGGAGCTCAGGGACTCTTCTCCTCCTCCTACACAGACATCTTAGCCCCAGCACTCATAGGCCTCCCACGCACAGACAGATGCTGTGCCAGCATCCATGCCCAGAGGTTACCCTTTTCTAAAACCTTGCACGTGCTAAATGAGACAACATATTATAATTTAAAAGTTAAATTGCTCTGAGGCAAGCAGAGATGGCTCTTTCTTTCCTAGTTAATAAAAAGGATATGCACAGTACAGGGGAAAACAAGGATAGAGTTAACTGTGCTTGCTAGCGGTGTGCTGTGAAAACCACTGGCCTTTCCCCAGCGTTTAAACACGTCTGCAAACACAGAGGAAAAGACCCATGCTCCTGTCTGTCCCGGTGAGACAGGGGGATGCACGGGGCTGCAGACTTCGCCACTGCCTCTGTCCCTCGCAGCCTGGGAGCAGGCACAGGCTACTGCTCCTCCCCATTGCTTCTGCTCTCTGTGCTCTCCTCGGGTGCCCCTCCTCGGGATCATGGTACGGTGGGGATTCCTCTCCAGCGCTGGCAGGGAAAGGCTCCTCTGACGGACGGGGGTTCCCTGCCGAGGTTACATCCTATGGACGAGATGCCGTGTGACAGAGTTTCCCACTTGGGGCGTCTTTCACCTTCCCTGGAAGCGGTGCTCCGCCCCTGCCGCACGCAAGGTCCGTGCCTTCTTTGTCTCCTTATGAGGGTCCCCGTCTTACGGAGGAAACAGCTAAACCGAATCTCACTATGCTAAAAGAAACTCTGAAAAACTCAGCATGACCCAAGGAAAAAAACTTCTGGGTTGGCGCTGGTTCCACTGGGGCTCGAACCCAGGACCTTCTGCGTGTAAAGCAGACGTGATAACCACTACACTATGGAACCGCCACGTACATCTTCCTCTGCTGTACTGCCCCTATCGACGAGACTTTGGCCACGCCTCCCTCGCCCGGCGTGGAAAGAAGCCTGGTATTTTCTCTTTAATTGCTGGTTGACTAAAAACAAATGTAGTTATTTAAAATTACCCTCAGGCGTTTTCTACCCTTCTTATAGCTACAGAGGGGCAGTGACAGGGGTAAATCAGCTCCAGGTATGGCTCCTGTGCCGCTGCGTGTTGGGGCAGG